CTTAGACATTATGAGTCACAATGAACTTCACAGTGGATGGTGGGTTTGCTTTTGGGTTTTGGTGTGGTTACCTGTGAGAATGTGCAGATGGAAGTATGCAGATATACATGCGCACTCACATACATGCGCCCAGGGAAGGCAGTGTCCAGAGGTCCCCCCTGAGCTCATTTGTTTGAGCTCAGTAAAAAAAAAATTCTTTTCCCTTGTCCTCCCTTTACCCTGCCTCGTGTCTACCTTATAACACCCCCATCTGCCCTGCTATGTGATCGGGTATGCCTAATGATACCTCATGACGGTGTTGGTAAACACAAGTCACACACTTGTGCTTGGCACTGTAGCTGGTGTAAGATAAAGGTTCAATTTTTATTATTAGTGTCATTGTTGTCACTAATGGTTGCTCCCTGCTGAGTACTTTCTAGAGAAAGGAGGTGCTCCTCCAATTCACGCTTTAGGTGGGCAGTTTCCAGAGAACAAGACCCAGGCCTCTCAGACAAGCCTGGCCCAGTCCCTCCCTAGCTCCCACATCAGATGAAGTGTTGAGTTTTACCCCCTGTCCACACCAGCCCTGAGTTCTTCTGCCTCTAAATAGGAGATGATACTCATGACACCTCACTTCTCATCTCTCCTTGTCTGGACACTACCTCTCATTGAACCTATCTCACAGGCCACCTCCTTTGTGTGATCTCAAGTGCTATTCAGGACCTTGGTATCTGTCCGTGGTCTCTGAGGAGGTCCGGACTGAGATGCTGCTGTGGCTGAGGAGGCCTCCTTATGGACAGGAGAGTCTAGGCACTGGCAGGGTAGACATCTTTTGGACAGGAGAAGATGTTATTGTGGGATTGGGTGTCAGAGTAGGACAGCCTGTTGCCTGCTCATGCCCTGGGAAGAGGGGCTTTCCCACTGGGTCTTCTCTAGGTCACTTGTATGCTGGGTCAGGTCATCCCTCTGTGGGCTGGAGGCAGGGACTTGGAAGACATTCATTCAGTTGTTTTGTTATAGCCCATCCAGGAGGATGAGTTGGCCTCAGTCCTGGGGGAATTGGTGACTCCCCCCTGAACAAGGCCTCCTAGGACCAGCTTCATGCTAATGATAGGAGGAGATAGCCCTCCAGCTTCTCATTCAAGCGTCCTTTCTCATCTAGCTGTCCTAGGTCATTAAGTAGGAATATCTGAGGTTCTAAAAGACGAGATCTGGTTCGGCGCTTTAGAAGCATTCATCTGCTTTGAAACATTAATCTGTGTAAGTATCTATGTCCTGGGGACCAGGTTTAAAGCTATAGTCTCACTCAGCAGGTCTGGAAAGAGGTTTGAGGGTCTGCATTTCTAAAAGGCTCCCAAGTAATGCTGAGGCTGATGGTTTGTGGGCCACATAGTGAGGAAGAGTGAGGACGGCATAGGATAGAACAGGGTTCAGATCTTTTGTCCATAGGGTTGTTATGAGTTATACACAACTCTACAGCACCTAACAACAACAACAACACCACCTACAGATGGCAGAAGATAGGACAGGGTTCAGATTGTTTTTCATAGGGTTGTTATGAGTCATGTTAGACTTGCCAGTACCTAACAACAACAACAATGCTTATCCAAGGACACTTGATGACATAGTGTGTTATATGTTAGACTGCTAACTGAAGGGTCAACAGCTCAACCTACAGGCCACTCTGTGGGGAAAATACCTGACAATCTGCTTCTTGTAAGGATTGTTGGTTTAGGGTGCTATTGAGTTGATTACGATGCCCTATGAACAATGGCTCTGAACCTTGCTATTCTCCTCATCTCTAATATACTTGAGCTCATTGTTATAGTCATTGTCATCCCATCCCATTGAGTGTCTTCTTTTCCTTCGCTGACCCTCTACCTTTCCAAGCATGATGTCCCTTTCCAGGGAATAGCTTCGCCTAACTACATGTCCAAAGTATGTGAGATGAGGCTTCACCATCCTTGCCTCCACGGAGCCATCTGGTAGCACTTTCTTCCAAGATATATCTGTTTGTTCTCTTGACAATCTGGGATATTCTGTACTCTTCTCCAACACAACTCAAAGGCATCAATTCTCCTGTCATCTGTAAAGATCATACCTTTGGAAACCTGTGGAGAGTTTTACTCTGTCTACAGGGTAACAGTAGGTTAAAATCCCTCGACACCAGTGGATTTGTATTCCTTCTGCTCAGAACTCTTCTCCTGGCTTCTTCACATTGCCATTTTGTTCTTGGCTATCAAACTGCATGTATGTATCCTTTCTTCTAGAGGCCTTTCTTAATACCCTGAACTAGGGACCACAGCACCCGTGCTTTCCTTTCCCTCACACTGCACTGTAAATATCAGACTGCCTTTCTTATTAGATTGTAAGCTCCACAGGTGGGGCAGGAACACTGTCCTCTTAGCAATTGATGTTTCTGAGCACTGTACCTGGGGCAGAACTCTTGTAAGGGCTTTCTTTTCCTCCTCCAACCTTCAGAGGTTGATCTCTTGATAAAGTGGTATGCAAACCTGTCAGTGCACGTTGTTGTTGTTGTTGTTAAGTGCTGTTGAGTTGAGTACAGCCGATAGTGATCCTATGAACAACAGATCTGAACCCTGTACTATCCTACGCCATCCTCATACTTCCTGACACGCTAGAGCCCATTTCGGCAGTCATCATGCCAATCCACCTGGGTGAAGTCTTCCTCTTTTTCACCAATCCTTTGCCTTTCTGAGCATCATGTCTCTTTTCAAGGAATAGCCCCTTCTAGCAACGTGCCCGATGTATGTGAGGAGAAGACTTATCGTTTTTGCTTCTAAAGAGCACTCTGGCTGCACTTTCTCCAAGGCATGTTTGTTTGTTCTTTTGGCAATCTAAGAGATGTTCAGTGCTCTTCTCCAATGCCACAGCTCAAAGGGGTCAATTCTTCTTCTGCGATGCTTATTCACTGTGCACAGCAAGTGACTGGAAAGACCATGGCCTGAGTGAGACTCACTTTAGTCCTCAAACTGACATCATTACTCCTCAATAATTTGGAGAGATCTCTAACTGCATATTTTCCCACGGCAATGTATCTCCTGATTTCCTGACTGCTGGTACCAAGGGTGCTAATTGTGGATCCTAAGATGAAGTTGTTGACAGCTTCAATCTTTTCTTCATTTATCGTGATGTTGCCTATAGGTACAGTGGTAAAAATCTTTATTTTCTTGACAGTGAAATGCAATCCATATTGAAGGCTGCATTCTTTGATCTTATGCAACAAGTGCTTCAAGTCCTCCTCACTTTCAGTTGTGCTATCTGCATAACCCAGGCTACTGATGAGTCCTCCTCCAGTCTTGATGCCACATTCTTCTTCAAGAGTCTGTCTTCTCTAATAATTTGTTTAACATACAGTTTGACTGGGTGTGGAGAGAGAATACAACCCTGACACACTCCTTCCTTAAGTTTAAACCAAGTGGTGTTCCCTTGCTCTGTTTGAACAATAGCCTCCTGGTCTAGGTATAAAGAAGACAAAGCAAAGTATTATAATGGAATGTGCAGAGAGCTGGAATTGGAGTCTGGGCATAGATACACAGAAACCTTTTTAGAAACCATTTCCTAGATCCTGTTCCAGACTTTCTCAACCAGATAATTCTGTAAAAAGGCTCTGTATTTTTGCAGAGCTCCCCAGATTATTCAGCCCTATTCAGACCATCAAGGATATGTGACAAACATCTGGGATGATGAGCCTTGCCTCCTGAAGGCACTTGTTGAAGTGGCCTACTGGTCAGGACTGTTGTGGTGAAAGGTCTTTCCTAATTAAAGCCTCCAATGAGGGTCTTTATCAGATTTCTCTCACACTCAAGGCTGCAGAGTTGACCCATTCACCCAGACCCTCCTGCCAGTGAACCAGAAAGCTGAGAGTTTCCCCCAGTGTCAGGAGTGTGCTTGGGACTTCAGACAGTGAGGGCCCTGGTGGAATGGCTTAGGGAAGAAAGGAAAGTGTTGTTAGACTGCACTATTTGGATGAAAGTAACTACCTTCTTCCTCTTCCCCCTTAACCCTGGTCATACTAATTCTCTCTTGGGTTTAAGACTAAGGAGCCTATGGCCTTTGTGGATTATAACTGAGATTTCCTTAGCTTAGCTGACATGTGTTGGTGAAAGAACCATAGCTCGGTACGAGACTTCCCTTCAGATGGTAAAGCCCAGGTGTAGACTTGTGGCCCATGGCCAATTTCTTGGACCAGCTACACAAGTTACAGCCCAAGTCTCAGACTAGGAGCATAAGGTGGTTGCATGTTGAAAGGTGCTCATGATTTAGGCACATCTGTGAAAAGCTTGTGCTGCTGTACTGTCAAGAGTTGTTAGGACTCAAGACAGAAGTGTTCATGTCCCTTAGAAATTTCTGCTTGGGCCCAGATGAGAATATTCACCATCCCATTATTGTCATGGGACAGATATGGAACATTTCAACTGTGGTGTACAGGCACACATCCCCCCTCCCCAAGTCATCAACTGAAGGAGAAGCCCCAGGACTTGGGCAGGAGCAACATCAAACTGCTGGGTCCTTGAGGGAAGTAGATGGTATCAGGGTACCTCCCTGAAGATTCATAAGGAGTGGCTTGCCTCCCTGCAGAGGCATTTTATTTAATTTAGTCCAGAGGGAGGAGAAATGCCCCTGCCAATGGGGAGAACACCTCTAATATATGACTTTGAAGTAGGCGGAGAGAGAAGTGTAATATCATACCAGAGCAAGGAACTTAAAGAATAGATGTGGAAGTTTAACAATCTGAGGCAATACTGATTTTCCCCAGATGGATTCAATCTCAACTCTACCAGGAAGGGCTGGGGTTGTAAATAGGAATGTATGGCATAAAGGGCCAAAAATTGTAAGAAACTCAATGCTTGAAACTGAAGGAAGACACAGAGGAAGTGGTACAGCTTTAGTCCCAGGACTCCTCAAAGGCCTGGTTGGGTTCTGGTTGGCCCTGTCCAGCCCAGGCATGGTCTGCACCTTTCACTGCATTGACCCCTCTCCATCCTCTCTTCCACCAGGCGCCTAGATGCCAACCTCATCTCCCAGGTTCCTGAGCGGAGTTTTGAGGGGCTGTCTTCCCTGCGCCACCTGTGGCTGGACGACAATGCGCTCACCGAGATCCCCGTCAGGGCGCTCAACAACCTCCCCGCCCTGCAGGCCATGACCTTGGCGCTCAACCACATCAGCCACATCCCGGACTATGCCTTCCAGAACCTCACCAGCCTTGTGGTGCTGTGAGTGCTCATCCGCCCTCCTCCATGCCCTCCCAACCCCCACGCCGGTCCCGCTGGGGGCTGCATGTGTGCTCTGAATGGGGCGGAAGCCTGTCTAGTTCTCTGCTCTTCTCTGTGCTTTCCTGAACCTCTTGGCCCAAGAAATCCCTTTTGTAAAATGAGTCTGCTCGTTTTATAGACCCCATAGGGTTATCATGTGGCCAGACGATATTAAAACTAAGACAGGCGTATCATGGTCAGACAGTATTGTTATTGTGGAGTCAGAACCAATTTATAGCTGGCCCTCCAGCAAGTTTTCCATTTTCACATAGGAGAACGCCCATCTTTCTCTTGTGGATTTGAACATAAATTATTATTGCTCACTATGAAAAGACAATACTGCTATAATGCTAACTATATGTCCAGAATTGTTAATCCTTACCCCCCACCAAAGAAAGAAATTCCGTCACGTTTGAGAATCAGATGGCCCTACGAGCTGGCATAGGGATGAGGTAAATGAATCTCATTTCCCAGACCTGAAGAAGTGGAGAAAAGCCATCACTGGTAATTACATGGCGAAGCCCCGTCAGGATAATTACCTGGGGAGATAGCATCCCTGGCAGGAACTGGGGACTGGGGTGAACTCTGCCTTTCCAGTGGGAACTTCAGAGTACAAATTAGCTCCCAGCTAATTGCTGTGAGTGATTGGTAAGTTCATAGGGTAATTACTAAGGGCTTGGAAGGTCATGTGTAATTACTGGGGGTTACACACTAATTGCTGCACGAACATGGCTGAGGAGCATGCGTGTTAGCGGCTCAGCGCGGCGCCCTCCGCTGCTCTGGGAAGCTGGTGTGAAGCTCCAAGCCCGGGCCGGATGGTGCTCAGCTCAACTCGAGACCTGAAAGAGCAGATTTGTTTCATTCTCTGTCCTGAAAGACAAAAGAGCCAAGATGAATGTCGCTACAAATGACACTCTTCTGTCATTCTTCTTCCGGTCGCACCGGAAGTCCCTCTGGGAGTCAGTGGAGCATCTGTAGAAAATAAACGGGGAAAGGTAGTTAAGCTCTAGCTCCGGCGATGCCGCTGGGAAGCAGGAGGGAGTGGGGTTCCAGCCCTGTGAGCGAGAGGGTGGCAGGAAGACCTTGTTTTATCGTGTTTTACTCTATTGCGATCTTGAAAAATTCAAAGTTGTTGGCAACCCTGCATCAAACAAGTCTGTTAGCACCATTGTTCCAACACCATGTGCTCACTACCTGTCTCTATGTCAAAATCTGGTAGTCCTCTCAATATTTTAAACTTTGTCACAGTGCTGTGATATATATAATGGTCGACTATAACATAGCATAAACATAACTGCTCTGTGCACTGAGAAATCAAAAAGTGTGTGTCATTTATTGCAATATTTGTTTTACGTTTGCCATTTTATATTTTTATTCATGTAATTAGTTTTATTAAATTACAGTAGTCTGTAACCAAACCCTCAGTATTTCTGAGGTAGAACTGTATTGGAAACACTGAGAACGTCCTGAAAGGTCCCCATACAAATGAGCAGCACATGGTTGGTGGTGTTAGGGACCATCAAGTCGAATACAACCCATAGAAATGCTGTCAACAGAACTGAACCCTGGCCTGTGAGCCTTTATATGAGAGTGCTGAATATTCAAAGAAATAAAAGAATGAGTCACTGACAGTCTACTCTAAAGAGATAAATAAATCCAAGGAAAGATAATTAACAATGTAACTTATGCTAATATAGCCAGGTGACAAGTACAGGTAGGTCAGTAGTAGTAAAAGGATTCTTTGGGGAGACTGAAGCAACTGTGGGCAGGATGATAGGGAAGGCTCATGGGGTTAGTCTTGGGCCCGGAAAGATGATGAAGAGTTAGACAAGAGGAGAATGAGAATGTTCCAAGTAGGTACCAGTAAAGACACCAAGAGGAAATCCAGGAGTGCTTGACGGAATGGAATAGGGCAGTTCCACTGGAGAAGAATGTGGGAGATAAGACTGAATTTGAGTTTGGGGACTCTACACCATGGCAAGGAGTTTGGCTTTTATCATCCAGCTCTTGGGGCAGAGGGTGATGGAGCTTGAAGATTTGTAAAGCAGGGGAGAGAGGAGTATTTTAGGGTTACGGATAGCTAAGAACAAGGAGAGGGCAGAGAAAGGAAGGTCAGGTAGGAGTCTTGGCATCCAGTTTGGAGTGGTGGCAGAGGGACAGAACGGAAGACATGGTTGTGAGAGACATTTAAAAGGAAGAAGTGATCACATTTAGATATTTTCAGAGAGCGAACTACAAAGGAGACAGAAGTGAAGGATGACTCGAAGGTTAGGATGGGATCAGACTGGCTTATTGCAGAGATATGAAAGGTGAGGGTTTCTACAGGGAATAAGGTGAGTCCAGGGATTAAGAGAAGAAGGCCACCTGGGTGTGCAAGCAAATCTTATGTAGGAAAGCTAATGTACTTGCATGCAGTGGGGCAGAGAGCATTACAGGCACTTGGTCCTTCACTTCCTGTGGGAGAGAAGTGCTTCCAGCCGTGTGAAAAGTGAGACAGGGCTGGAGAAGGCTGTCCAGGGACTAGAAGATGAGCTGTAAACAGGCCCAGGAGACAGATAAGGAGCTGTGGATATGAACGGAAGCAAGAAGGAAATTTTGTGCAACTCAAAGGTGTGGACAGGGTCCTGGCTAGATGTGTGTGCAGGCACGTGGGGAGGAGAAAAAGGGACTTCTCCTTAAACAAACTCTGTGCCTTCACAGCTATTCTGGCATCCGGAGGTCCCTTCCCACCGCTGCTTGGCACTGGCAAGGTTGCAGGGTTTTGTGTGTGTAAGTCTTCCTTCTTATTTTAAACTGTCAGCTCAGTGCCCTGGCCCAGATGAGTGCTCTGGCGGAGGGAGTTGGAAGCCTGAAGATGGAGATGTTTGGGAAGCTGAGATGATGTGGATAAGAAATGCTCAGAGAGTACTAAGGGACAGCAAATGGAGATGTGAGTTTAATAGGAAGGAAAAAAAAAGTTTGGTGATAGCTATTGGGATATATATAGGTGTGGAGGAAATGGGAACAATAAAAACCCCTTGTTAAAAGGGATCTATGAAGGCAGTAGAATTTTGTACAATCAACCATTTATTCATTGAAAATACCTTTTCTGAAAAATACAAATGGAGACTATCACATGAACCTCACCTGATGGACTATACAAGAATCCAATTTATTACATCAGTACAAACAGTCTTTTGAGAAGCTCAGTATTAGCTGTGAAAGTCAGGCGATGTCCTGACTGTGGAATAGGCCATCAACTATTACTCATGTGCAAGTTCAAACGGAAGCTAAAGAAAATTAAAACAAATCCACAAGAACCAAAATGTGACTTTCAGTTTATCCTACCTGAATTTAAAAATCATCTCGAGAACAGGTTTGGTGCATTGAACACTAATAAATGAAGGCCAGATGAGTTGTGGGATGACATCAAGGACATCATCCATGAAGAATTCAAAAGGTCATTACAAAGACGGGGAAGGAAGAAAAGATAAAAATGGGTATTAGAAGAGACTCTGGGGGAGCTCTGGTGGCCTAGTGGCAAGAAGCTGCAACTACAATCCCAGAAGTGCACGGTTCGAATCCACCAGATGCTCTGCCGGGAAAGGAGGGGCAATCTCCTCCTGTACCAGTCAGATCTGATTTGATGGTACACGCACACAAAAAAGAATAAAATAAAAAATAAAAAAAGAAGAGACTCTGAATATTGCACTAAAATACTGAGAAGCCAAAACAAAGTAGGAAATAATGAAGTTAAAAAGTTGAACAGATTTCAAAGGGCAGCTTGTGAAGACAAAGCAAAATATCATAACAAAATATGCAAAGAGTTGGAGTCAGAAAATCAAAAGGGAAGAATCCGCTCAGCATTTCTCAAACTGAAGGAACTGAAGAACACATTCAACCCTTGAGTTAAAATACTAAAAGGTGCTGTGGGCAGAATCATGAATGATCCAGGAAGGATCTAAAGAAGCTGGAATACATGGAGTCACCGTGCCAAAAAGAATTAGCTGACAAAGATCCATTTTAGTAAGCAGAATATGATCAAGAACGAATGATAATAAAGGAAGACATTCAAGTGGCTCTAAAGAAATTGGCAAAAAAATATGGCCCTGGGAATTGATGGAATACCAACTGACATACTTCAAAAAACACATGCTACCCTGAATAGCCAAGTTATGCCAAGAAAACTGGAGGACTGCTATGTGACCAACTGACTGGAAGAGATCTGTGTTTATTCCCATTCCCCACCCCCGAAAGTGACCTAACAGAATGTGGAAATTATTGTACAATATAATTCATATCACATGCAAGCAAAACCTTGCTGAAGATTATAAGAAAACTACTAGACCTGTACATTAACAAACAGCTGCCAGAAATACAAGCTGGGTTTAGAAGAAGCTATGGCACTAGGGATATCATTGCTGATGCCAAATGGATCTTTGCTTAAAGCCCAGAATACCAGAAGGATGTCTATTTGTATTTTATCAACTATGCAAAGGCATAGTCTGTGTGGATCACAGAAGAATGTAGGTAACATTGAGACATATGGGTATCCCAGAACACTTGACTGTGTTCATGGAAAACCTAAACCAAGAAGCTGTTCCCGGAATAGAGCAAGGGAACACTGCATGGTTCAAAATCAAGAAAGGAATGTGTCAGGGACGTAACCTTTCTCCATTCCTTTTCAATCTACATGCTGAACAAATAATTTAAGAGACTGGACTTTATGAAGAAGAAAGTGGCATCAGGATTGGAGGAAGACTAAATAAATAACAACCTGCATTACACAGATGACACCACTTTGATGAAGAGGATTTAAGATGCTTGCTGCAAAAGATCAAGGACTATACGGTCTTCATTAAGTATTGCATCTCAACACCAAGAAAAAAAATCCACACCTCTAGGTCAATAGGCAGTAGTATCATGATAGATGGAGAAAAGTTTAAAATGTTAAAATGTCATCTTGCTTAGATCCACAATCA